CATCCTGATTTATGAAATCGCTGTAAAAAATCATCGTCGGCCGGGGATAGTAGCATAGTGTTCGTCAATCAATAAAAAATTCAAAATTAGTGAGTGGTAAAATAATCGAGCTCTCCTTTTGCCCACTGCTGGATATGCCACTGAACTCACGGTACCTTTTTTCTCCTTACCCCCTCCCCCCCGCTATCATTATCCTCATTATTATTAATCATTCACATCATCATCTCCATATCAGCATTATAACCATTGAATACTACTTAAGCATTTTCTTCTCTTTTTTCTTTTTATTATTTATCGCTAAATTTCAATCTTCAAAAGGCGTAATTACAAGAATACAAGCTCAATAATACAAATCTATTTACCATTTTGATCATTTTCTTGTTGCTATGAAACTTATCATTTATTGCAATAGACCTAAATATTCTTATTACTATAATCATTATTATTGCTACTATTATTATATACATGTTTCTCATACCAAAGTGACAGTCATTGGTATCCATAAATTACAGCTATATATAGCCTAAATATTATGGGAGAGGAAATGAGGCTAGAGCCCCAGCCCACCCCCGCCCACAAAGGGACAGAATAAAGGCAAAGGAGGAAGTGGGGAGAGTAAAAAATCGTATCGAAAGCTCTGCATGATACCATTTCTCTATGTACTGTACTCTATAAAAGCGATCATATTTTACAGTCGACTATACCACACCACCACAACCCACACACATGGCCCTTATCAAAATTATTCACTGGATCCGGCCGGGTTAAAAAAAAAATGGAAAAACAAATCATATATTTAAAAAATATCGATTACAAAACGAAACAGCCTCTAAGTACACTGAAACAAATGAAAATAGACATAATTATCAGCAAATCTGATGTACGTATCCTGGTATTCTTATGACATATCATTTCAAAAGATTGTAAAAATAAAGTGGAAAATATAATTAAATACTGTACTGGTAACTGACCAAATACAGTAATTTTAGGAATCAATTCAAAGCGTGTCTGGGAATCCTTATCATAGCCTACTGTATGCGCAGTGACGACAAGTTTAATATACATAGTTGCCATCTAAAGTTTATTATGCCGTTATTTCTTTGTCGTGTAGTTTATAAGAAAGCTTAAGCATTTACATCGACGGAATCCCAAAGCCTACCGAACCGATCATAGAATCTGATCAGTATGTAAGAATAGGGCCGCCGGCGTTCGGCGTAACGGAAAAGCGGTCCAAATTTCAGATCAGACTCAATGTGAATGCAGCTTTAAAAGAGAGGGCGTAGATGAGAAGACGTGCAGGTGTAAGTGATCTGAATGAGTTTCTGTTTCTTGTATCTTGTATTAAAATCGCAGCCAAGGCTACATTATAGGCCTATTTACAAAAATACATATTATACAAAATATAAAACATTAACCAAACATTAGTACAAGACAGGAAAAGCTACATTAAAATTGAAAACATCAGAAATTCACGAAAAGTAAAATATTATATTATACAGTAGTACATCAATTTAAATAATTGTTTCATTATCGAATTTACAAATACACAACAAAAAAAATCCATGCATTGCACAAAATTTGATTCAGTTATGATGACGTCAGTGAGTCAGTTCCATGACGTCGGTTGAGTGTTGTACATCATAGTACAGTAATATCTAACCATACCTGCTTCGCCTTTCCATGCCTGTAGGCGTATTCGTTTAGTTTATAAATCTTAGCCCCATATATTTGTCAATGTCATTTAAAGAAGCACCAGCAGCGTGTAGCATTGCTCTCACTTTCTTCCATTCGATCTCAAATTCTTTATTTGACATTTTACTGTTGGGAGAATGTGCAAGCGTTGTGTTCCTGTAGCGATGGATGTGCACCAAGCTAGGCAATCTATCTGGATCTTTCCAAAATGAGTATGGAATGCTACAACAGTTACGGATGATCAAATACATAATTGAGATATCGAACGTGTCAATGTCAGCTGTTGGTGTGAACATTTTTGCGTTCTGCTCAGGAGTAATTTTTACATTTTTGAAGCTACCTTTTCCTTTCTCATTCATCAGATATCGTCCAACTTCTTTTTTGTCTAGTTTAGTAGCCTTGTTTTGTTTTGTCTTGCCTTGATTAGCAACCTCCAAGAAGTATTCCCTCATAGTTACAGTGCCGACATCAACGACGGCTGATAGAATAACTTGGAAATTTCTGATTTCTTCAACGTTTTCCTGCTCAAACCCTATTTTATAAGTACAAAGGAAAATCAAAATTGGTTACCCTATGTTATAGTTGGTTTCAATGGCAAGACGTTTAGTTGCAATCTTAAATATTCATTCTTTAGCAGTTTTGTATGTTATCAATCGGATAGAGCTGCCTGATGCAATATAGAAATTAATAATATCAAATTCATTTGTTCCATATTTCAAAGTACAAATTCTATGAAGTAAGTTTTACCTCTAACTGCTGTCTCTTATACACATCTAGATGTGTATAAGAGACAGTTAACTCCGATATTTCTAAAGATCGTGGCAAGTTCCTTCCACTGTTTCTCAAACTCTACATCTGTAGTCCTGTTGCTATGACTGCAGTCTAGAGTGCTTTCTTTGTACAGTTGAATGCGTCTCAAATTTGCCAGTTCGGATTTGTCCTGAACATCTAGTGGATTCTCCCAGAATTTATCGCCTTGAGGACTAAAGCAATGTTGAATTAAGGACATCAGGACGGTAATATCGAACGAGTCGATGTCCACATCGTCAATGAAGATCTTTGTTGCTTCGTATTCAAAGTCTACATCCTTTAAAGGTCCATTTTTTCTCTGCCATGACAGGAACTTTCCGACCTCATGTTTGCCTCTCAGCTTACCTTTCGTCATGAAATACTTTCGCATTTGCTCAGTTCCCATGTCAGTGGTTAATGCTTGGAGTGCGTAGGAATTTCTAATTTCTTTACTGAAGCTCAATTCTACAAAATTAATACATAGATTATAAATTTTTAAAATTACAAGACACTTTTTACAGAAATGTTTGTACTCTTTGTATTAAAGGCTGCATGTAACTGATTAAGTTTTGTATGTTGAGTAGTTGGCGAATATTAATGCAAGTTTATTAAACAATACCTACATTCGTAAACAATAAAAATAATACCGTAGTCCTTATATATATTTGTACCATTGTCAATGTTGAAATACAATCAAGTGAAATACTGAAATATTTACTATCATCAATTATTATCAATCTAATCATGCAATATATTAAAGTATTCAGGTTTATCAATAACTGATTAGTTTTAATACCTGCTTTGAAATATAACCGAATCTTAGCAGTTGACATAGAACATGTTCCACATGGAATTGAATCATACTTTAAGCAATCATCTAAATTTTGGAGGTGGCGCTGTCCCTGTCCCTGGTTTGAACTAACTGAGCAAATTGGACAAAGAATAGTGAGGGTGCAACCGACATCACCCTTAGCAGGATATAAGTCAGTAAGATGACGCTTAAGCACATGTAAGATCTGTCAAATGAATAAAATAAAACAAATGTCGTTTATTATATACAATACTATAAAATGAATGATAATAAATTGTTTATTTAAAAAATGAAGCTGTTAGTAAGGTTGTATGCCAACATTCATACCTTTATTTGTATTACAAGACAAATACATATATTATTCAAGAGAAACATAAGTACTATTTTGTGCACATTTTGTTAACATGAAAATGAGAATTTTTCATTTACAATTATAGGCAATTCCAATATCCAATCAGACGATAGACCACTTTTTCTTAACATAATAATGTAAACTATTTGGACTACCTATGCTAGCCAACCAAAAATACAATACTCAATCTAGCTACACAAAATATCTAAAGAATTACCTCCATGCAGGCGATAGGTTCTGGCTTTGATGCTGGTTTCCTTTTACCATTTTCATCTATCTCTGTTCTCCGTGTTATTTCCAACTGTTTAGAGAAAAAAACTTACTATTTAAAAGTTGTCAATAATTAAATTATATTACACTTAAAATAGGAATTGTTTACAAATAAAGTATGTTAACCCATCATTGCCAATGTAATCACTATCACCACTTTTATGACGTCATCATCATCTTCTGCTGCGCACATTAAACATCCAATAATACAACTTGCAATAGTTCTACTTGCTTTTGCGATTATCGCGCGTATTCTCTAATGGTCAATGGTTATAAGCACATGTGCGTACAGGAGGATACGCTCTGTATCTTTAGACAATTCCAATATTTTCATAGCTCATTATGCCTACACTTCAATATTAAAATCTAACACAAAATTATTCAATATATATA